AACTGAATTACATTCCAAATAAAAAAGGTAGATGAAAGTAAAAGTTAAAATAAGAAAACCGTTAGTATATTTATAGTTTTTGCACGAGAAGATTCTAGAGTCTTTCCCAAGTATCCACTAGCGCTGATTGGATAAGAAATAGCCAGACTACTTGGTTGGGGTCCGTGTGACTATCGTAACCAATGATTAGAGACTCTGGATGACGTGGCTCAGAATCGATCACAATGAGGTCGGTGTATACACTCGCTGTCTTCCCTTAAACTAAGAGATTAAAATCACTACATATCTTTCTTCCTGTACTATATCCTTCTATGCAATCTTTCTTTTATATATTACTACCACTGAATTAACTACTTTTATGAATCCGGTGTTCATCTTGCTGTGCTAATGAGGTGTAGTAACTTGGACCGATGCATATATGTGCCTGGTCCTACGTTGCACCTGACTGACTGAGAATCAGCGTGCCCCAACATAATACTGCACGGAACGTGCTTTAATCCAATCCATATTTCGCTAACCCCTTTAGTCAAAATCAGTTATGGATTTTTAGCGTTTTTGTTTGTAGTAATGACTATGATTAATGACCTTTAAAATTATTCAGGCTTACTTTTTAAATTTATCTTTATTATGGATACATGAAATTATTGGAGACTGACCCGTTTATCAATTGTTTCACATTTATGTACTGCGTTTTTATTGTATACAGACGAAATAGTTTTGTCTAATGAACACTTGAACCTTGATTCAGTTTTCTGAAAACTTGTTTTTAAAAGTTTCAAGTTGTTCAGTAATATGTGTTTGAATGTTGGCGCTAAATTTGTGTTTTAAAATTTGTTCACATAAACTCCCAAAGTATTTTATATAACATCTAGGGTAAATTGTGTAGTAGTGTTGAATATTTTCACCTCCTGAGAGGATAGATCAGTTACATTGGGCTGGTGGTCGATATGGTTTGATGTACTCCAACTCTTGAGTTTGGGATTCATCGATATTCACTGTTATGACTAACAGTGTCCGAAGTTAATACTGATACAAAAACTTATGATACGCAAGCTCCCAAGCGGCTACCGATTGAGAAGACTAAGAGTGAAGGTGGAAGTTTATTGGATTAAACCGAACTCGATAAAAAAGTGCTAGTTTATATATATATATATTCACTCCTTGGAAAATAAAACCATTTTTCGACCAATAACATCCACTCGTCATTCGGAGGTTTTTGATTGCTGCAACTTGGTCTTCTCATTTAGCAGTTTTGATTATCCCACTGATCATTCGCCACCTATTCTTTATTTGAAAAGTTATTAAAGTAAATCAAGTATCTTGTTTATCAATCCTTACTATCTGTCAGACAACTTCAGAAAATCAATGTTTCAAAAAACCTCGAAACGACTTTAAACAATAGATTACGTAATAGAACCCTTAAGTAAATAGATTTCAAGTTAAGCGTGTAGTTTGGGAAGCGAGGGATAAGGTGGTTTACAAAGTTTAAAAACCATTAGTTGAGAAAAGTGTAATATTTAATGAATTACAACCACCTTTGATGTGTATTGTCGAGATGAGCGAATTCTTAATTATAATCCTTTCATTGATTGTTGACTTTAGAATTGTAATTTACCTGAGTTACTATTTATAGATCATTGGGAATATGACTCAGATATGAGTATTATGTATTAGAGAAAGACATTCCCAACCAATATCATTCTTACTAAAAATATTAGGCTTCTTAAACATTGAAAAATCAATGTTGAAAAAAGGTTTTAGTTGATTTTCAGTCTACACTTTATACATAGTTAGTTTTCATTTTTTAGTGAATTTGAACAGTTTAAATTGTTTAGTGTTATTACTAAGGTTTTGTAATTTCCTGTTGTTGATATTCGGGACTGCAATTGGCCAGTTTCTATTTTGGAAGTTTACTAAAACTTGTGATATAATGCTGTATCAAGGCAGTCCGTTTAAGATTCATACATGGTAGTTGAGACTAATCAATTACAGTCCTGAATATCAACAGTGTGAAGTTGCAAGCCCTTATTAATACCTTTATACTTATTGAAAAAGTTAGTGGCCATGTAGATTCAGTTGCTCAATGGATAACAAATTGTCCGTTTGAAGCTAAACACAGTGATTCCAAGTTTCTGTGCAAACATTATGTATGATAGTGGAAGTAAATATGATTGGCCACTGAGCGTGGACAAATAGGCACACAACTTATTGGGTATCAAATATGTAATTTCCTTTCATTCTGTTAATATCTACCACGGACTCACTGCGAGTGATTGTTTGTAATTGTGTGGAGTAAAGTGTTGTCTAGAGTTACACTGGTTCTCTATTTGCGATTGTGAATCGGGTATATGGTATGACGTGATCTAATCTGTGTATAACGTGTAAATCGAGTATTCAATCCAGTGGTAGTATAAAATCGGTCACCAGTCCTATCGTACTATATCGTGGAACGAGAGGAAAGATTTCCATTAATCCGTTATATCACATCAACACTGAAATTCAAGTACATCCAGCTAATGGATCCAAAATGCGATGGAACGTTCCCGCTGTATTCTATTGCTAGACACATTCCAAGAATATGAAATGGTTGTATATTGTTTACTTTTCTGGTTTATACACTTTCCATGATTATTTTTTTACTCTTTAATAACTAATAAACTATTGTTGATTTCGTCTTAAAATTAAAAATATCCCCCTTTTCATAGATAATTACTATCAGTGCCAAAGAAGTGGAATCAACACCGTTGGATTTTGCTCTTTTGTATCAAACACTTGCACGTCTACCTAAACTGCATCCTGTTGAGGAGCTTATCCGTGAAGCTTCAAAAATTTACATTGATTTAGAACCAGACAAATTGATTGAATTAGGCAATAAACGTATTCTAAAATATCGTGAGCAAAAATTACTAAACCGATCACCAATAATACGTCAACCATTTTTAAAATCTACAAATAAACATATATTATGGGGATTAGTTACGCAGCATCAAAGAACTATTTTCTCTCTCAGTCTTATCGTCATTGTCATTAGTTATTTATTAAATAAAAGTTTAAAAGACTAGAAAAAAATGATGAAAAAAGACCTAGTTGTTACTGTTCATAGTTATGTAATAAAGTTGATTATTTTCAAGGTTATTTTGTCAATACTTTATTCAACTTGTTCAGAAACTTCTCCATAAATATATTTATTATTTCTTGAAAATGCGTTCAATGCAAGCTGATGTATGAAGTAGGTTCACCTCTTTTTATTTCAGAAATCTTTCTTCCCTTCTTTTTTTCACCCTGTTTTATGTCTTTTTATATTATGGATATTCTATGTCTATCTAGTATTGTTGGTGAATTGTAGGGTAGATAAGGAATGTTTGATTTTTCTCCTTAGGAAAATTTATGATGATAATAATTTGATTATTTATTTTTATTATATTTGTTTTTTTTTTTTTTGATAAATAAATTTATGGAACAAATATTTGTTCTGATATGATAAAAGACACATTGTTTCAACTAATTTACTAGTTTGTTCTGCCTATTAAATGAACGTAATATATTGTTACATTCAGAACTGGTGTCTCCTAGAGTTGATTCTATTAATATAAAGTGCGTGATTATCTTCATGATGCAGGTGTAAATCGAGCAAATTTCATAAGCTTATTGGGTGATGAAAATATTCTTAAAACTAGTCTACACATCATTTGACATTTATTTATTTGAACACATAAACACTGGTACAAAGGTGCACCGAATACATATGCGCCAAAAAGTCACTTGATTTGTGTGTGGGCTGTGATACTGTCCGGGTGCCTACGCCGAAGCAGGTGGTTTTCTTAGGAGGCCACTCCCCCAACCTTTGACCTAAAGGTCTGCTCCACAGGGCAGTGGAGCAACGTCAGGAGATGCAATCCTATGGTAGCCGGTGACCGACTATTGGTTCATATGCCGTTTGTTCTTTCAGGATCCTGGAGCCCATGTGGATCATTGGTTTGGAATCATGGCTTTCCAACTCTCCCAGGTGGATCCTCAGTGTCCACCGATCCGGTTAAAGCTCCGGACATAAACTCATTTCATCAACTAACTAGTTAAAGAAGTTGAAAATTAGGTCAATAAAACAGTCGATGTGAATAAATATTTAAAGTTTAATCATACCTACTGGAAATAATAACTGATCACTGAATCACCTATATAGGAATTCTTAAATATCATTTTGCAGAGCCATCATTCTGTTTTTTCATTTTATAATCTCGTGTATCACTTAGAAAGCTTTACAAGAATACTATGTGCACATGTGCAATATAAATTTATCAGAAGTCTTTCCTTATTCTCATTATGTGAATGGTTTCCGTCGATTTAACTTTTCGATTCCATATGATCATTAATTGTTCTCAAATCTAATCATCCAATTTTAATATTCACTTTTGTTAATTCATTCATCTCATTTAAAATAAAACTTCAAATTAATGTAGCGCAATTCAAAGATAGCTGACTTCAACATCAATTACTTGTATACTATAAAATAAATTAAAGCGCTTTGTTTTGTACCCTACTCAATTTATGGTTATTCCCCTATGTCTACAGTTTATTTACACTTTTTCCTTAAAAATGCATACAAGGAGTGAAGAATGGTTCAATTATGATGTGACGTCAGCTCATGGAGTCGTTGACTTGTTTTAAGCCATGTTGATAAGTGCCGACTACTTGGTCAAGGTGTACACAGTAATCACAATCAGTAGTTGAAGTTTTCAAGTACAGCTCAGAATTAGTCACATTCTCTTTTGTTACGCTAAGTAATTCTTTCTTTTCGAACTGCAATTTGAGCCAATGCATATTTGCATTATATCTTGTTTTATTTGTAACTGTGATGTAAGAGGTGACTCCAGTGACTAAAAAATATTCTGACTTATACTATTCAGTTTGTCGTTACTATTCTTAAAAGCAATTTATTGTTTATTCACTTCCCTAGATTTGTCTGACATCCAGTGAACTTTAACGTTTTGCTTCATACGACAATGAAATTAATCCGTATTCCATCATTTATCATGGTGACTAAATTTTATTTAATATTGTTATTCTTTTTGGTGAGTTCGGATAAAAATGTTGTTTTAAATAACAATCCATCTGATTTTTATCAACAAATAAATGCTTGGCCAGATTTTCAATTGGCAGCATTCACTGATTTAAATGCTGATCGTCGAATGGATATTATATTTGCCAATGGCGATGGTTCGAAATTATTTGCTGTTCTACAATCTGACAATAAAGGTTTTCAATCCACTTCACCAATACTATCTAGTGTGAGATTTTCTCCACCTGTTGAAATAATTGGTAATTCTTTGTCTAAGCCTGTTCGTGGTGTTGCTACTTCTGATTTCAATGGAGATTCTCGGACTGATCTTTTACTAGTCACCGGTAGTTCAGATGGGGGACCATTTGATGTATATGTAGCTTATGGCTCAAGTGGTGAATATCGTGGGAAATTCGGTAAGTCTACAGTGATATATATTCTGTGTTATGAGATCGTATGTTTTTATGATTTCTGATTCCTACACAAATCAACTTTATTGCGACTCAAGAAAATACAAGTTAAATCAATAGACAACAAATCTTGTTTGTGGAGGTTTGAGTTGATAGTTCAGCCCAATTACTCATATTGATGGATTTTAAACATGACCTTTGACAGAAGAGGGAATACATGCGTTACTAGTATTTGAACTTTAATATTTTCTAAGCATTCCTCGGTTTCGATGGAACAGCGGAGGGAGCAATGCTAGAATTAGGTGTTTTGGGTCGAGGTAAAGATGGTCGGTTGTGACGATGCTGTGATTCTTCATTGAGTTAGGTGGCTGGGACATATGCTATATCCAATCCCCCTCTACGTTGACTAGCGATACTGACTGCGGTAAGAGTAAATTGAATGGAAGATAGCAGTGGTGAAACTGAGATGTGGCATCAGCCCATGGAATCACTGATAGGTTTCAGCTACCGGCTTCGAGTTAAAAATTAGGTGCTATAGTTCAAAATTCTTCTTCTTGAGGCAGATCGATTTAATTCATATCCCCTCTTAAGTCCATAGCTTTCTTTACAGTTAATAATAGTTTATACAGAAGAATAAATTTATCTCACAACTTTACCTAAATCAAAGTCTAGTCTAGAACCTGGTTACATGGCACACACATGCCATGGTATGGCCTAGAGTGGGGAGAGTCATCTCTCCCTCTCTAAATGCTCTCACATGGCTACGCGTATACAGCCATTATCAGGAAAGTCCGACTCACTGCCTTCTCGCGGTGGGGTTGTTGTTTACGAAATTGAGAGGATGAAAAGCGAATGTCCGGTAATTTAATCGTGTTGGTGGATACGGAGGATCCACCTTGGAGAGTTAGAAAACACTGATTCGAAACTAATCGTGTGAATGGGCTCCAGGATCTTAAGGAAACAAACGGCGTATGAACCTATTGTTGGTCACCGGCTACCACAGGACTGCATCTCTTGACGTCACTCCGTTGCCTTGTGGATTAGACCTCTAGGCCAAAAGTTCGGGGAGTGGCCTCCTAAGAAAACCACCCCCCTCGGTTTTGGCGCCCGGCTAGTATCTCAGCCCTCACACAAATCGAATGATGTAGTGTGGCGCATATCTGTTTGGTGTCTCGGTTACGTGTGTTGTACAGATTAATGTTATTTCTTGGCAGTTTGATTACAGAAATTTAGATGAACATAATGTTAATATCTTGGGCTGTTGCCAGATGAGTTAGAAGGTACACTGCATCAAGTATAAATTCATACCGCTACACATGATATGATTTATCTTCATAAAGATATCGTGCTTGCAACGATTCCTGCATTTGCTAGATCGATCTTGTTTGTAGTCGTAGGTATGCACTGGATAGGAGGAGGAATTAGCACGAAATATCCATTTGATTATTCCTGTTTTTCAAGAATTCTCTGGCTGGTTTTGTACCTCCTGACGAAAATCATTTTAACTTCTAACTAATTGCTCAAATAGATGTGATATTATCTGGGAAATTCGGAATCTAATTAATGCACCTATTTTTTATTTTAAAGCGTGTATGCTCTTCATACCCACTGATAAACCTTATAACTATTACAAACCCAAGCTATTATCGGATTCTATCAGGTGTTGTCTAATAATGTCTAATTGGCACATTAGTCAATAAACACACTACATAAAAACTTACCATCATTTTATCTTCATGAAACTAGTTTAATATGATCTGAATTATCAGGTACCGTACTTCACTTCTTTATCAAATGACTTAAAAATCTTGACTAATTAGTTTCATCAGAGTATATCTCCACACATCCATACATTGCTAGTTTTATTCATCTGTTCATTCAACTCAAAGATTTTCTGTAGTATAACTAGGCTATAGATACTGTTTAATGTTCTTGTGTGTCGGTTTTTTGTAACATTTTTGACAGGAAAAAGCTTATTCGCTCCAAAATGTTTACGCGAGGGTTAGTTTTTTTACTTATAATTATAGTGTACGTTGAATATGGATATACGGTAATACCATATAGTTTATTATTTCATTATAATTTATATTAGACTTTTAAGTACCTGAGTGGAGTGGTGGTATACTTCATTCTAGGCATCCAAATAGTAAGTATGATTAGCCCTCATACAAATAGTGTAACTTAAAGCAAAATACATCGGTTTGTACTTCATTGGTGAGTTACATCTAAGTATTTGAAGAACAACTATTCCTCTAACTTAATTTTGTCTTATCATGTTGTCTCTTTTTCTAAGTAGATTAGATATTTCACCAAAACAATGTGAATTTTTCATTGTTGTACAAAGTTCGTGAGAGATTTCACCTATTGTTTTGATTAAAGAGAATTTACAACTACATTTTTCTTTCTTAAAATAGTTTACTTTAAAATGTTAAAGATAGACATGACTTCTAATGTTGTTACTTTTTTAAATTCCTAATAAATGTTCAGGTTCACCAAAATTTCTGGATACTTTTACTTCTCAACCATTAGTATGCGATTTAAATTCTGATATGATTGCTGATGTATACGGCGAAGTGTCAGGACATCGAGTAGCATATATAGGCGGGTATGTTAATTTCTTGATTTATTTGTTTGTTCTCCGAGTATAATCAAAGCTTTGTTGTCAACTGGATCTTAAAAGGTTTAGCTTTTTCATCATCCCAGTTTTTTATTAATGTATGGTTTTAATAGTTGAATTCATGAGTCTGTCTAAGCTAGATAACCATTGAAAACCTGGAGGCATTGGATGGCCGTTTCTTCTTAGTATGGGACCTCTTAGCAATGCGTATCCACGATCGCGCTTTCGGGACTCGAACCCAGGACCCTCAGTTTCGCACGGAAATGCTTAACCTCTAGACCACTGGTCCGACATTAAACGGCGTTAATATCTAGTTTTAATCGATCCATAATCTTGCGCAACCCTCCACCTATTGTCTGAAGTTAGAAATTATCACCGTCCGTGCGATTAAAATTACTTTATATCTTTCTTATTGTATTATATCCTTATACTCAATCTTTCTTTTATATATTACTATCATTGAAGTAACTACTTCTATGAATTAGGTGTTTATCTTGTTGTCTTAATGAAGTATGGCAAATTGGGACGATGCATATATATGCCTGGTCCTACGTTGTTGCTGATTGGCTGTTGTGTGCCAAATTTATCTAAACTAATGTTGAATCACCAGTTCGTATTCTGCTGTGCATCCGGTTAGAATTTTATCATCATACCGTTTGTATAATATAAAATAAAATCTACAAAACAAGTAAAATGACTCAGCTGGTGAATTTTTGTAACGTTGTTATAATCTAATTTCTATTTCGAATAACAAACAATATTGCTCTGTCGAGCTCTTAAAATTTAACTTGTTCACATTCATTTATTAAATAATAATATTATAGAAATGAGCTTACGAAATTATCCACTGCCTATTCTGGCCCTTCATGGTCTCGACTTGGGTATTCAGCTTTCGGGGATATCAACAGAGATGGTGTTCCTGGTAAGCCAGCTATTCAATTGGAAACTTGTCGCAATGTTGTTGCATTGAAAACCTGTTTTTCCTTTTCTCTTTTTTTGTTGGTTTTTCACCATCATATAATTAGAATATAACACTTCGTAAATAGATTTACTTTTCATAAAAAGTTGATATGTGATTACCGATTTTGTTGTATTTTCACTTTGAAATTCTCTTTTAAACAATTATTCATATATTATAAGTATATTCTTTGTAATCAGTGTTAATAGTATTATGGAGCAGTCAGTTAGTGACTTTCAATCAATAATTTTCAGGTTTAAACCTCTTATTCCATTTACTTCGGTTTGGACAGCTAAGTAGATTCATTAGCCTTAACCCAAAAATGGTGGCTAGAATCTGATTACGTAAACATGTACGCTTAGCAGATGAGATGCATAACATTCACTTAGGTAGTGTTGTAATATATTTTACTTGGAAAATAAAATAGTTTTTAATTTTTACAGTACGTCGGTTTTAACATATATCTTCAATAGTACATGTTTACATAATAAAGGGAATCAAACAAGCGTGTTTCTGGACATAATTCCAGCATCCATTAGATATCCGTTTTACTATTAAAATAATTCATTGATTGTCTTATCTGTATTTGGCTCCTTTTTCCTTTTATGATTTTATTGATTAGACAAATACATACAGTGAAATCATTGTCTCTTGTATCAGCTTTTTTGTGTAATAAAAATAATAGATTGCTTCTGTCATATAGTTTAGCTCCCAGATGGGAAAGACAGGAATATAATTGGTGAAAAATAACGTATTAAGTTGATAGAATAAAAGAATTAACAAAATTCAAGATGATATTTAACATGATCAGCATTGGATTTTCCTACACATTAATTAAAGGAAATTGTCACTGAAATGCAACAAGAAATTCTCTGTGGAAGCCAATAGAACAATACCAATAATTCACTTCTATAAATAAATTATGATGCTGAAGTACATAACGAATGCAGTATATACTATACTTCTATCACCTCTGCTTCTTAAGTCATATTTCAGTGCAAAATAGAGGTTGACTTCTATGATTGTTATTCAGTAAACTTGAGCGCCTTCGTTGTGTAATCATTACTGGTATATTAGTGCTAAACTGTCTTTTGGCGCTAAACTGTTTTGTTTTAGGTAGCAATTTACTTGGGTATACCTAAACAGTTTATCGTTAAAATAACAGGTTAAAATTATACTTCAGTATTTTACTGGACGTCAATATTTTTATTGTCACAATGTCAGTGCGGTAAATTTAAAAAATTTAGTTTTTATTTGGTAATCCTATGTTTTGTTCCAACTGAGGGTAATTACTAAGACTGGCTGTCAATCAAGCTAACAATTTTGTATATTCATATACTTACTTTTCGTGAATGACATTTATGTAGATATTGTAATCCTTGTGGATAATGAGAATACACAACAATTACAGGTGATACTACGTACTCAATCATCGATTGGTTCTTTGCCTGATGTAACTAATGCTGAATTGATTGATCTCGATCCTAAGTTATTAAGTACTCCACAATCTGTTTTGGGATTATTCGTGTTGAATGATTTCGGTAAGTATTTAGTGTTTTCATTTTAAAACAAGTTTGAAACTATAAAACTGGAGTGTGTATTGTCAGTAAAACAGTTATAGAGTCTATAAGCAGCGTTTAATGGGATTTTCAGCTCCTTAATATATAGGAGAGGCTTCAGTGATCAAACTGCAACTTGTCACATGAGAGAAATTTTCTCTTATTAACTGTCCAGTTTGATAAATCCCCCCTAAGTTTGAAGCAGTTTGGGCATAATAGACAGGGCCAACAGGTTTCTAATATGAAAGTTTGCGCGATCTAATTTTACTAACTCACGGTCTCTTTTTCTATCAGGAATAGATTTCAACAACACGTAGTTACTAAACCACTACGACCAATATCCATAGGAGTTATTGTGCCATTTAGACTTCTTGATCGACCATACTGACATAGATAGTCATTGACGTGAAGATTATCGTCGATAATTGGCAAAGCACTTAGTTCTACCTGTCGATTTGTGCATTATGAATTTATTTCATATGAGTAACTCGTATTTATTCTCTTTTATTTTATGGGTTAATCGTAATCTGTTTTCTTACTGGTTGATGCAAATTTTATCCGTCCGATCATATCGTACAACTGATTTTCAGCCTGTATGCATTGAGTCAAGTGTTGTTGTTGAGTCCATTATCTTGAGTATAAGCTTAACATAAACCAATTATTTGTTATAGAATCACTCAGTACTTATATGCATTCATACACAAATATCCCAAGAATCTAGGACGGTTTTTTGACTTCATTTGATCTCGTGTACGGCAGATTAGACACTCCTAAATGACCGTAATCTTCAGTAACTTGGTTCAAAACAAAGGATGCATGAAACAATGACAAAATGGCTGCAGCTTTTTTTCCTGATTCCCTATTTCTTTCTCTTTATAACTAATCCTTCCTTCAGTACCTTTGTTTTTGGTTGAATATTAGCTTGTCGAGTTAGTAAACTAGCATGTAATTCTGTAAAGGAGCTTATGTAAGACAAATCATGCCATACATGGAAGTAAGGGTGGGATAATGTTCACCTATTAACCCTTTATCCATTTTCTTAGTTGTCCAAAACTTCTTTCACAACGTTTGATTTGTTGACTTTGATTTATTATAACAAACTTGGTTCTGATAAAATTCAATGAACCCGGTCGAAGTACTATGAAAAACATTCAGCAATGTCCAAATCTTTAGGAGTTACTTTTTACTTGTATTATATGTTAAAATAATAACACATTACCAGTCAAGGTGGAACTATGCGATACTTACTTTACTTACTTACTTACGCCTGTTACTCCTCGTGAAGGAGCATAGGCCGCTCACCAGCATTCTCCATCCAACCCTGTCCTGAGCAATCCTTTCTAGCTCCGTCCAGTTGTAGTTCATCCTTTTCATATCTGCTTCTATTATCCGACGCAATGTGTTCTTTGGCCTTCCTCTTTTTCGCTTCCCTTCAGGATTCCAAGTTAGGGCTTGCCTCGTGATGCAGTTTGACGATTTGCGTAACGTATGTCCTATCCATTTCCATCGTCTTTTCCTAATTTCTTCTTCAGCTGGAAGTTGGTTTGTTCTCTCCCACAGAAGGCTATTGCTGATGGTATCCGGCCAATGGATGTTGAGTATCTTGCGAAGACAGCTATTTATAAATACTTGTACTTTCTTGATTGTGGTTGTTGTAGTTCTCCAAGTTTCAGCTCCATACAGTAGAACTGCCTTGACGTTCGTATTGAAGATTCTGAATTTGATATTGGTTGAAAGTTGTTTTGAGTTCCATATGTTCTTCAATTGTAGGAATGCGACCCTTGCTTTGCCGATCCTCGCCTTTACGTCTGCATCGGATCCTCCTTGTTCATCGATGATGCTTCCCAGGTATGTGAAGGACTCTACATCTTCCAGAGTTTCGCCATCAAGTGTGATTGGATTGCTGTTCTCCGCTTTGAATTTGAGGACCTTCGTTTTCCCTTTGTGTATGCTGAGGCCTACTGATGCAGAGACTGCTGCTACACTGGCTGTCTTCATCTGCATCTGTTCGTGTGTATGTGATAGGAGGGCTAGGTCATCTGCGAAGTCCAAATCGTCTAATTGATTCTGAGCTGTCCATTGTATTCCGTGTTTTCCTTCAGATGTTGAGGTCTTCATAATCCAGTCGACCACCAGAAGAAAGAGGAAGGGAGAGAGTAAACAGCCTTGTCTGACTCCGGTCCTTACTTGGAATGCATCTGTCAGCTGTCCTCCATGTACTACTTTGCACTGTAGTCCGTCGTATGAGTTCCGGATAATATTGACAATCTTCTCAGGAACTCCGTAGTGTCGAAGAAGTTTCCATAACGTCCTCCTATCTACACTGTCGAATGCCTTTTCATAATCAATGAAGTTGATGTATAATGATGAGTTCCACTCAACTGATTGTTCGACGATGATCCGTAGTGTTGCAATTTGGTCTGTGCACGACCGATCCTTACGGAATCCAGCTTGTTGATCTCGAAGTTGGGCGTCTACTGCATCCTTCATCCGGTTCAGCAACAATCTGTTGAAGACTTTCCCTGGTATTGACAGTAGTGCTATGCCTCTGTAGTTTTCACATTTGCTCAGATCTCCTTTCTTTGGAATCTTGACGAGGTGTCCTTCTTTCCAGTCCATCGGCACTTGTTCCTCCTCCCAAATCTTTTTGAATAGAAGATAAAGCATGCTTGTGGTTGCTTCGATGTCTGATTTCAGTGCTTCAGCTGGTATGTTGTCGGGTCCTGCTGCATTCCCGTTCTTGATTTGTCTGACGGCCACTCTAATTTCTTCCGTAGTTGGTGGATTGACATCTATAGGAAGATCTATGTGTGCTGCTTCGATGTCCGGTGGATTCATTGGAGCGGGCCTATTCAGGAGTTCCTCAAAGTATTCTACCCATCTGTTACGTTGTTGTTGAATTTCGGTGATTGGCTTGCCTTCTTTGTCTTTGACCGGCCTCTCTGGTTTACTGTAATTCCCTGCTAGTTTCTTCGTTGTATCGTGAAGTTGTTTCATATTTCCTTCTCTAGCAGCTTTTTCTGCCGTCGTTGCTAGTTCTTCCACGTATTTCTTCTTGTCGGCTCTAATGCTCCTCTTCACTTGTTTGTTTGCTTCTATGTATTCAGCTTGTGCTTGGACTTTCTCTGCTCGTGTTCGGCTGTTGTTTATTGCTGCCTTCTTGTTCTTCCTTTCTTTGATCTTGTCCAGTGTTTCTGTAGAGATCCATTCCTTATGATGGTATTTCTTTAGACCGAGAACCTCTTGACACGTTGAAGTTAATGCTTCTTTGATACTTTTCCACTTGTCCTCCATAGTAGTTTCTTCTTCTTTCAGTAGATCTTGTAAGGCTTGGAACCTGTTGTTGAGAGCTATCTTGAATTCATTGAGTTTGACAGTATCTCGAAGGAAGGCTGTATTGAACCTTTGTATTGCTGTTTGTCCACTTGTCCAGTTCTTTTTTAGCTCCAGTTTCAAATTGGCTACAACTAGGTGGTGATCTGAAGCTACGTCAGCACCTCTCCTGGTTCTCACATCTTCCATTGTCCTTCGGAATTTTTTGTTAATGCAAATATGATCTATTTGGTTCTCTGTAGTGTGGTTCGGTGAGATCGATGTAGCCTTGTGTATACGCTTGTGTGGAAATATTGTGCCTCCTATGACCAATTTGTTGAATGCACATAGATTTGCAAATCTTTCTCCATTTTCGTTTCTTTCTCCTAGTCCATGTCGTCCCATAATATCTTCATATCCAGTGTTGTCTATTCCGACTTTGGCATTTAGATCTCCCATCAGAATAGTTAGGTCCTTTCTTGGGCATTTCTCAATGATTGACTGCAGCCGCTCGTAGAATTGATCTTTAATTTCGTCGTTGCTATCATTGGTGGGTGCATAACACTGGATAATATTCATTAAGACCCCCTCCTTCTTTGTTTTGAATGATGCTTTGATGATTCTGGATCCGTGAGATTCCCATCCTACAAGTGCATTTCGTGCTACTTTGGACAGCATAAGAGCGACTCCCTGAGTGTGTGGAGCATTGTCCTCTTCGTGACCGGAGTATAGCAGCATCTCTCCCGTAGCTAGCCTTTTCTGTCCAGCTTGGGTCCAGTGGGTTTCGCTGATTCCCAGTACTGCTAAGTTGTATCTCCTCATTTCCATTGATATTTGACTGGTCTTTCCGGTTTCCCACATTGTTCGAACGTTCCATGTACCTATAAAAATTTTTGCTCTGGTTGTTAGAAGGGGCATCGGCCTCGTGGCTTCCGAAGGAACTCGGCTTTCACCATGAAGCGTCATAATTCTTCTAAATGAAGACCTTCTAACTCCCAGGGCAGAGTTAAAATGGTTTGGATTATTTTTTCTGGTAAGCGTTTTTTTAGCGAGTTAGTTTTCTACGGGATGGGGACGCTAACCCCATGCCCAACCCTCCTCCTTTACCCGGGCTTGGGACCGGCAGCAACCCTATAAGAGCTACAGGCGGAGTTAACTATGCGATACCCTTTAGCCAATCAGGTTCTAAGCGTAAACTTTTAAGTTTTGGTGGACGATCAAATCAAACTGATATTGAATGTCGATCGTTTAATTAGTAATTTGTAGAATATCATCATAGAGTAGTACTTTAGATGTAAAGACGAGTCTGTTTTATAGACGAACTCATTTATCTAAGTATACCATATTTACCTTGAGATGTGAAAGTTTTAGATTCGGTCCTGTACTGGTTCATAGGTGCATTTCAAGGTATCTTCAAGTACAACAAAACAGTTACTCTGTATTACAATCAGGTTTTTGATTTTAGATCTCAGCTTGTAATGATTGACATTTGTTCTGTTCGTATGTGAATCTGTTAAGTTATTGTGCCAAATAGTAATGTACATAATATTAATATTGCTGATGGAAATTATTATCATTATTATTATTTGATTTTTCTACTATGGTAGACTATGATGGCTCAATTGATTTACTTCTACCTGTATGCAGAGACGCTAAATGTTTGGATACCAGTAGTATATATATATATTCTTTCAAAGATCGAAAGGTTAGTTTTAGCTTCTCTGTGTTATATTATTATTATTATTATTATTATTATTATTATTATTATTATTATTATTATTATTATTATTATTATTATTATTATTATTATTATGAAGAAGAAGAAGAAGAAGAAGAAAAAGAAGAAAAATACAACCAGAAAGGATATTTCCAGTTAAAGAAGTTGTTTCCTTTTTTATGATGAAAGTAAAAGAATGATACGTCAGGATCGCCACGGGCCTTATGGTTATCCTTGTCTGATAACATTTCAAGCCATTGTGTTGCACCATCTCTGGAACCTCAACTGGAGAGTCACGAAAGTCTATCAGAAGCCAGTCCTGTACAGCTTTCCTTGATAACACGACGCTATGTCATACACTGATAATCTCCACTTTTTCCATCTAGTCCCAGTGCGATGTGGAATTCTCTGGGACGACATGTCCAAGCCATCGAAGTTGGTGTTTCAAGATGGTGACACCAGCCTAATTATCGTCGCTCTTCCCGAACACACGATGACGAACACACATTTTGTTGCTACTGGATGTCAGCAATCTTCCGGCGACAACGATGATCAGACACGGAGAGTTATCTAACATTTTCAAGTTGGAGAGGCCAGGTTTTACAAGCATAAAGCAAAACTGCTTTCACCGACGCGTTGTAGATCCGACCTTTGACAGCCACACTAACATCACGAAAGCAAATAAGGGAATAATCGGAGTCCAGATAGGTACTCCAAAAGGAGCGGCAGTCATGTACGCAACCATGCCAGCGTTAGCTGATCGCGATGTGATCAATCTGAGTCCAGGTTTGAAATGCAGAGGCAGGACGCCAGATGAAACATCGGTGATAACTGTGCAGGTAGTTAGTGCTAGCCAGAAACAGGTTATGGTCTGCTCACAAATGCAGTAGACGGTCCCCGTTATCTGACCTGCGACCAACACGTCCCTATCGGCCACCTAAATGACTTTCTTCTGTGCCTAGACGCCCGACCTGAGGATTCAAGTCTCCGGCTAGTACTACAATATCTGTCGGACGTACGATCTGTAGAAGAACAGATAACTGGTGGTGAAACTCATCCTTGATGGCAACTGGGCTGCAATCTGTCGGAGTTTAGGAAGAGACTACGAAAAGACATCGTTTCTCACATCAACCTCTTCGCATTTTGATTCTTTCAAACCTAACAGCAGATAACCGACTGTTAATGGGGATCCAATCGATCAGTTTTGCCTCAGCTTTAGCCCTTAGTGTGACACCAACGCCAGCAGGACTAGGCAAAGATTCCACAGAGTTCTCCGATAAACGCACGCGAAACAAGCTTTTCGAAGCTACAGATGGGGAGTGAATTTGTAGTGCTTCGCTAGAGTTTTGAATATGGGTCTCGGATAGACAACAGACATCGATATTAAGACGTTCTAAAGACAGCCAGCCCTATCTGTTGTCCGATCTGCATTAGTGTGCGAGTGTTGAAGGAGGCCAATTTGGATGGTATACGTGGTTTCAGAAAGGCTGGTTCGGATTTTGTATTCAGTGGTACCACTCAATATCCGACCAATCAGTGATTTGAGATCGTTTGGATAGGACAGAATTTCCACCACAGATGAGCTGCTGTGTGAATGGAGAAATAAAAGAATATACAAAACGGAAATAAAGGAATAAACAAGTGAAGCAATGTTAAATAAAACGAGCAATAATGAGTAGTTTTGAGTTTGATTTTAGAAAATGAGAATTAAAGCGTGAGTGGTTTTTCTAGTTGTAGTCATTATTTAGTTTGCATGTGAGCTGGGATACACCCCGGGTGCCTAAACTGAAGCAGGTGGTTTCCTTAGAACCCACTCCCCGAGCCTCTGATTTAGTGGTCTAATTTAGAAGGCGGCAGAGCAACGTTAGGAGATGCAGTATCATGGTAACTGGTGACCGAATATAGGTCCATACGCTATTCGTATTTGGCTCTTAAATACCATCATTACACAATGGGTTTAACTGAAGTATTATATATGAAGTCAAAAATAAGATATATCTTATCTTTATCAATTGGAGTCAAAATGAAGGTTAAAGATCTATCACAACTGCTTGGTCAACGTCCCAGAGATCAAAATATTAATTTTTCTGTAGTACTATAATATTTTTTTCATAAGATTGAGATTAATTTTTCTTACTAAACGAAATCTCATAGTTGTTCTTTTTTAAAAAAAACTATTGTGTTCATTTACTTGTTGATTATAACGTGTTTTCTCTCTTTTATTTCTTCATAATATCACCATTATATTTTGTTATTCTGTTGTCTCAAAGTATTATAAATTATCAGTAATAGTAAAAGGAAAATGATTCACAAACTAAGATCATTGTGTTTCAGTTGAAATGATTATCATATATCCGTATTATTCTCTCTTATGATAAGTAGGAGTGTAGTGGACGCTACTCACAAGGATGTTTGTAAGCAGTGCGTAGCGGAACGTGGCTTCGAAGTTGCAACAATTATCAAATGGAGTGAAAAGTTTTGGTATATCGAAAGCACAGTATTGACAAAACACTTGAAGACTAGACGAGAAGACAGTTCAGATGTCAGAACACACCTGACGATGCAGATGGACGATCAAAGACTATATATGTGTTATGTAAATACTTTGTAACTTCTCTCAATTGACACACATTTCCCCTGCCTGGTGTCTTATTTTACAGGAAGATTTCATTAGAAAATCAACAAATTATATTGTTTTTATTTATCGACCGAGTATACATGATAAGAATAAATACTTATTTGTATGTAAAAGTAACTTACTAGTCAGTAATATTTGTTTTCATGCATTCCTCAGATTCACTTTGTTAATCGATTCATTTCTTGTTCTTTTTTACATTTATACATTTTAGTGGTTCCCTGTTAATGTAATATGGGAGCCTTCAAATGTTAAAGAAAATACTATGCGATGGTCTTTAACATCCACTCCACAAATAAGATCTGGTTTATTGACTAGTTCATTAATTGGTCCAGCAGTTGGTGATGTCAATATGGATGGCAAACCTGATTTAGGTTTAGGTGTTACGAGTTGGTCAAAAAGTGATCAAAATATGGGTGTTTATCCTGGAGTGTTCGTTAATAAAGGATTAAATTCTAATGGAATTCTCACTTTTCAACTTACTCTACTTCCGGGCGTTCAATTGCCACCAGACAATACTAGACTACGTCAGTTGGCATTTTTTGATCAATCTGATGATGTAAGAATTTTTCTTATGAATAATGCTTGCTATTAAATGTTTAGTCTCACCATATTCTTTGGGATATTACATTGAATAAGATGAGGTGAGAGAACTTTTACAACATAGTTTAAGCAGAATGATGCATGACAAATATTTGTTAAATAACTAAAATTAAAAAGTCTACTTTATTGACGATCTACTGCTGTTGAGATTGCCGCTTGTATCTTTTTGAATAAGAATAAAATGATTACAGAATATTGGTCCGAGCAAAAATATAAATTCAATTTAATCTGTTTGGATTCTTATTAGTGTTATGTTCTGATGTCCGATTTAGTCACGATATACGCTTCTAGTGGTAAATCGAACCTGCTGTGCAAATAAGAAGACCATATAAGTCAGGGGGTTTAGTTACCAAACCGAATTATAATGTATGTACGATTGCCCTTATGACCTTCAAGCAAGGACATGTAGACTAAGACCTTGAGTTGGTATATAATGGACTTCCTCCAACAGCGTGGTTCGTTCGTAATTTTTCACCTATCATTTAACTTTAAGTTAGTATATGAGAACGGACTTTCTTAGTTGTAGATAACTTGTAATATTATTTATGTCGGAATTAAAAGTAATGTACTAGAATATACGTCTCTAAAATTAGATCTTGTTAATATATAGCCCCACTGTTTCATGTGAAGGCTAGTAATATACAACCCAATAGCTGGAAGTCAAATTAACCATCGTTCTACTAAGGTGAGTCTACGTCAATTAAATAATGTGAACATTCATCACTACCCCGTGTCTTCTTGCCGTTTATTTTTTCTTCCGACAGGGTTTTTCCAAAAAGTTTTTTTTTCAGCATGACTGAACTACATTTACCTCGTCTATATACTGTGTTATGGTGTATTCCATTTTTATTACTTGTAGAGTATTTTGGATTTCTTTATGGTTTCTTTAAATCCCCATGATCAACCATCAGCCCAGTTATTCCTGAGTACTGTGGATACTGATCCATACTTCTTAAAGGTATTTATTGGATTATTTTCCTTTAGTAGAATATATATATATTACATAGAATCTTGCACTTTTCATTGCAAAACTAATTACTGATAGTGGTACATTCGTATTTTTTCTCAAGTTGAGACAAATTCCCTCAGCTCTCTCAACGTAATCAGTACTGATCTAATAGAAGTATTGTCAACATCAAGTGAACTGTATGACATGATATTTTTACGTTTACAATTAATACATAACAATATATAAATAACTCATCAGTCTATTGTTCTCATTATTCGACTAGTGTGACGTTAAGGCTTTTTTTGTTCGAGAACAAAAGTTGGTTAGTTGTCTTTTTTTTCGACAGAACGTATATATATATATATATATATATATATATATATATATATATATATATATATATATATATATATATATATATATATATATATATACCCTATTTAACAGCCACTTCCGCTTTGTAACGACAGAAGATGGTTTTCTATAGCGATATGTTGTTTTGTAAATACGTAGTTGTCAAGCCTTTATTGGATTTTCCATAAGATGGTCTATGTTAGCATTTTTCGTTCGTGTATGTGTCATGACCTTAAAGTCACTCTACTAAATGTTATTAATTTGTCGTTAAAGCATAGTTTAACTTAAGAACACTTTATAATATACATTTATAATTATTTACTTTCAATTCTTCCATTTTTAACTATAAGGTTACTGTTCTTAACGGACTTTGTTCATCTGCGGATTCATGTTCAGATGGTAGATTACCTTATGGTCTTATGGTACCTGGAATAAGTTCATACCTCAACACTGAAGCTGCTGCTGGAGGTCGTCATCTTTCTGCTGCACTTTTAAGTTCACAAAGTTGTTGTAGTGCTCTTCAAGTACCGTTTGAAATATTTGGTTTAGGTCAATTTGCCAATTATGTTGAAAAATTAACAATTTCTATACCACCATCGAGAGAAGTAAGTCGTTTATTTTCAAAAATTATTTGTCTTACATTTTGGACTACTTTTAATTTATATACATTTATATATAATTATCAAAAGTGGAAGAATTAGTTAATAATATGAGAATGTTACCTAGGCATTGTCTTATATGAATTGACAATGTTGGTCGATTTTTCGTAGTTAATGCAAAATGTGGCTACTTATTTAAGGCTGGTATTATTACTTAACTATTTAATAATTTTTGTATTTCAAATATTTTCTTAATGTTTGGTTTATAAATGTTAAATAAAAATGTTTTTAGCAAATAAGCTGTAGTAATTTTGAACAATTAATACAATGAACTTTCAGTTACTTCACTGTAGCTCCAAATTCTATTCTACCTAATTTAGTTAGTCTGGTAGAAAAATATTTATAACTATCACGTCAAAATTTGATCTGAAGCATAGTATATAATATGTTCTTGGTAAGCGAAATCCACCAAAAAAACAAACTTGGTCAATTTCTTTAATTAAATTAATGAGAAATATTGTTTGCCTTGACAGTTTAATCATGTGTCATACTTTTCTGTTTTATATGGTTAGCTTCGTGGACTGATCTTAGTTAAACAACCATTAAAAACCAGGAAGCACTAGACAGCTGCTGCATCCTACTACAAGACTACCTGACAGTGTGCACCTAGAACCCTCAAGTTTTTGAGTGAGCGCCTAACCTTCAGACTACTGAGCTGATATTCAGTAGTTTATATAGTTTACCAACTCTCGATATTGCGCAGCCGTCTGTTTTTGTGCAAAGACTGGAAGGAGAGTGTATTACCATCAGTTATAGGCATTTTTGAGCAAAGTTGATGAATGGTGGCTGTAGTGAAGTCCAATACGTTCATTAAATAATTCTTCGTAAACATCCTTTCACAACTAACTTATCAATGGAAATAGGAAGTAATGTATGATCTTACAAGTTATTCGGTCAATCAGTCATACGCAATACAGAATGTGGTACATACGTGCATCGGTGAAAGTTTTCACACCTTAATAGCAGATAGATATACCAGAACAGTATAAGTAGTAATAATGTTGGTGGCAGTAGAAAAGATTAGGCATAAAATTAACGACTTGAAAAGAAAGTATGGATTCATGGAATAGAAAAACGTACGAAGTAGTTTGAAAAACTAGAATTTAAGAAAAGACAAAGAATTAATGCACCTACCCTTTACGAAATAAATCCTCTTTAAATTAACTAGCTGTTATATATAAAACCCTATTCATAATATTGGTTATGTAACTTATCCTGTTCATTGGTATAGTAGTATGTATTATTTTATTTTAAATATAATACATAGTTTATATTCTTTACAAAATCAAATCTCTTTTTTTAAAATACTGGATTGACGCATGACTTCTTATATTTTCATTGTTGTTGGTATATTGAACACTTCCAAAGCATATATCAGTATATACTAATCATAATCTTTCTAGGTGAATAATTTAAGTTTGTAACTATGTTCATTTGGTTGAATGAAACGCCACTTGTGTATTATTCAAATATATTATTATGAATAATCATAATAAGTTTTCATTCTATTACACTTTCTTAGCTTATTCGATCACGTTTACTATCGTTTATTGTTCCAAAAGCTCAAATTGTTATCAATCCATATCCATTAGATAATCCTTCTGCGTAAGTTGTTTATAAAATAAGACAATTTTCTATCTTTTTCTGTAAATGATTTAATCTTATTTCTGTACAATTGTAAAAATATGTATATACTGTTATTTTTCACAATAGTAACCTATGATATGTTTATTGATAATGACAATTGTTTAATGAATACAAAAGTGGCGGATAGAGATGCAAAATATAAACCATAAGACATTTTGGTATTGTTTTACTTGAATCTTCCCATTGATGTTTTAGGACTGAAATTAATCAGTCTCTTATTGGCATATGTGCATACTGTGCGTATGCCTCGATATTGCCTTAATTTACAAGCATTATAAGAAAAGATGGAATCCATAAGAAATTTTTATCCTTATGAAGAGATTGAAAATGTAGTTATAAAAATAAATTGTGGATATACATGAATATTCATGGGTAATTGAGTAATAAGATGGTATAGATTTTGAAATTGAAGTTCAATTTAACCAGAGAGGCAGAAAAACATTAAAAAATAAAGTCAGTTAATGACGGTAGTTGTGAAAAGATCAACAGAATTAGGAGAGAGGGAGTAAGGGTGATGACCTTAGGAAACGAAAGGTTACAATTATTGTAGAATAGATTCAGTTAGTTCCTTTTTTGTGTGTATAGGCCTAGTTTCCCTAAATGTGTTTGTTGCAGAAGCTTTAACAATGGAAATGATAAGGAATGTTTATTGCCGTTGATAGCTTTCTGTTCACTGTGTATATGACTTAGACAAGTCTGTTTTGATCGAACGATCCATATTTACAAGGTGACCAACTTTTGAGCTTCTTATGAACTTATTGCCATCTGTTTTGCAACCATGATGAGTTATTTTCTTTTACCATCTTGGATAGAACGCATATTAAATTATCAATATATTTACATTCCAAGGTAAAAGTTATTTGATAAATATACATTTATATGATTAAATGTGATAGCTTGTCCTTTAAGCTCTTGATGAGGTTAGATCGGTTAGAAACTTTGTGCGAATGAATTTCTTTCGAATGAGTTTGAGATTCTCTATTCTAAGATGTTTACAGCCATGTCACCCTTGAAATTGATGTTCATCTAGAGCATATTTTTTGGCACAGAAGTTATTGACTCTTTAAGAGCTTCAAGTTTTATTTTCTTGGTCAGTAAATGTGGTTATATATTCACCTTTGACAAGTATGTTTCTTGGTAGAGTTCAGTACTCATCGATAACCTCAGGACTACAAAAGTCGTCAGATTTGTATGAAGAGAAGATATTGGTTAATTATTTTTTCTAATAATAGGGACATAAATGTGAACACTCCCTAGCTGGTTATTTATTTATTTATGGTTAGCTTTATTCAATATTATATTTTTGGTACAATATAGAATTCTCAGCACAAAGTACCTCAGCGAGTTTCCGTTTTTTATTTCTTGATCGATATTAACGATAAATATTGAGTGATCGCCAGTTAGATATTAGTAGTTGACATCTGAATAGTATTCATTCTTTTCAATGTATATTGCCAGCCATCACGATGTCTCTGATTGTACGTTTTTGTAACTTGCACAGTGGAAGGTTGTAAGCTTTTCACAAACGCACCTGAACAGGTTATTCAGTCAATTGACATAGTGACCTGTTAAGACAAATGAGGAAACAGATAACTTATAGAAATATATAGATGGCAGGAACAGGTAGCCCAGATATTCAAGCAGGCCGCCTTCCGTGAAGGTTTTACTGTAAACACATTTATTTTGCCGTTTAATCATCAAGAAAGTCTATTTATTCCTTTTGTCGCTTAGAAAGTAAATTGTATTACCGAATGATAGTTTTTAAAGTAACATGATTCAAGTTAAAAATAATATGAGCATTATCCTATAGTTAGTAACTTTTATACAGGTTAATTCCGTGCAATGATTATCCTCAATTGTTTCCCAAACTGGTCATATATATCCCATAATATTCATACTGTCGTTTCATAATGAGTTTTTTCTCAAATCTAGTACATATTTAAAGTCTCTTCTCATCTCCAGCTGATACTATATACAGAACCACTAAAAGTTATGAAGTAATGGACGTTTTTTCGTCTGTGTTGAAAACTTTTGGGGTTGAAACTATTAAACTATGTGGGATTATGACTCAGTGATTAGAGAAAGAAGAATACCGTTCCTACCACGAAACATGATAAATTACACTGTTAAGCTGTTCTAAACTAAGTACATCTCTCCATCCACCCCCCTCTATTGGTTTCAAATAATTCGCTGGCCAATATAGAATTAATATTACTTTCTGTTGTGGATCTTCCTCTAAGCAAATACCGCAAACCTCATTCACACCATTATCTATATATACGCTAACAATCAATAGCACCCCAAGAAATTCACCCCTCCCCTTATTCATTACACTTAATCAGAGTACCAGAAAAAACGATCTGCTACCTTAAATTGTTATTTAGAATGAAAAAATACATTTTGAATATATGGATAAAATGTAAGGTCACAACAAACGATAAATCTCAATAGTCATGCACAACTATACGACATATATAGGACTTTTGTAACAGGAAATTGACTAACACATGTTTAGTTAATTAACAATAATTTCAATGGTTGAAATTACTCTAATATCCGCAAAAAACCCTTCTGATAACTATAATTTATTGACGAATGGGTGCTATTTTAGTGAACGAAAAGTCATGTGGAGTAAACCAATTTATCCATTTAATGCAATATTACACAGTGGCTTAGTAAAATATGAAAATTATACATTAATTACATTGTTTTCACATCTTCCTTCATTTATCCTTCACATGCATCACGATTCCTTCAATTCTGTTGTTATTAACATTTTTATTTGTCTCCTTGCCTGTTCTCTTCAATTCAGTCTTCTATTCTCTGGTATTCCACTTCTGATTTCTACTACTACTTATATCTGTCAGCGTAAGTAGCATTTACTACACTATCACAACGTTTAACACGTCTAACGAAAGCTCACAATTAGAATAATATGAAGATTTCATTAACCAATTATTTGATAAATTCGTTTAGAAAAAGAGATACAGACTGTAACTCTTGAGAATTGTTTCCCTAAATTTTACTAGTCTCTTTCCCTGGTATCTACCTAACACTTCTCTATGTAACACAGTTGTGTTAATTAAAATATTTATGCACATACTTATATGATTTTTATTTTATCCTTTTTTTTCTACTACTATATTTTTAGATGGACTATGAAATTGTTTCTCCAACCATTATATAATATGAAAGTACTATATATAGCTATAACACTACTATGTATTTGTATCCTACTCATAATTATTATTGGTATTCTTCAATGGTTTGAATTTCGTGAAGATCGTTTAGAAAAACAAAAAGAATCTCAACGTTTTCATTTTGATGCAATGTGAAAAACAAAAAAAATATGGAAAGAGCGTCCGTACATGTGTGTGTATGATGTGTATGTAAGAGTGAAAATCAAAACTGATGGTAATAAAAATATACATTTTGAATAGTGTGTTTCCTATTCATATCAATTTATGTTTATCCAATCTCTTTATACCTACCCACTGTATCTCTGTTTGCTTGGAATATTTATATGTCTGTGACTGTATGGGAGAGAGGCAGAATTGATCAAGTGGAGTGCATGTTACTTATTGTCTATTGTCTAACAAAGTAACTGTGATCCATGTTTTTCTTTTCTAATTTTTTTCTGTCACAATTGTTTACATAATAACCATTTTTTTCTCCGTACATATTTTTCACCATGGTTTTAAGATATTTGTTATGTGTCCTGCATTCCGTTTACACAAATCTCTACGATGTTATATATATATATATATATATATATATATATATATATATATATATATATATCTGAGTTCTGAAAATCAAATTTATGTTTGATCCACTTCGATCATCTACTTGTTTTTTATTCATGTTTACTTGTCAATGAAAACACTCACAGATTGCTTGAATAAATTTCCACGTTTTATCACGTATTTTCAGTACTAACGAATTTTTATTTAGTTTTATTGTTGTTTTATCTTTATCAAAGACTCACTTTTTGACGTTTCGAAAGAATTATAGTAACGATAAAAAAATAACTTATAACATTGTAAGTAAGTAGTGTTCTTGCTTCTTCATTATTTTACGTCCTTGAAATTGCTAATAGATATGGGGTTATTCTGGCCTTTACCACAACTGCTACCTTGAAGTGGTGGTTGAGCTTGCCTGTCGTAATGACTCAACATAGTTGTATTGGCTGGAACACATGTCTCTTTAGGTAATACCATGCAAGGCAGGTCCGAGAGGAAATTCATACTGTTGGTTGTAGAAGAGCGTGACAACAGTAAGGTGTTTCCTACGAACAACTAGCATCTCTAGTAATGCTGTCTTCTTACGATGAGAACGATCCACGGGCGAACTCGAGGAAGCTGTAAGAAGCTCAGAAAGAGCCGAAGATATTCCATCCAATCACCTTTCGGGAGAATATTCTAGAATCTCTACGTGTAGCTTCCCGATTGGACAGTGCTAATAACCCCCTGTGTGCATATTGAATAGCTATAATGATGATTTCTTTTTTATTAAAAACTATAAATATCTGAAAGTTTTTGTACTATAATTTGACGGTCTGGAATAACATTCCTTTCACTTGTCTCATTTGCGACATGGAAGGGTTCTAGCGTTCAAGTGCTCAAGTTATACGCAGCATATCAAGAATGTAAGCTCTAGATATAGCACTTACAACAACAAAAATAGTTAGAAAAGGTCGACCCAAAAGATTTCACATTTCACCTTACTCCACGGATTTCCGTTTCAGGTAGTAACATCTTTTAAAATGCGAAGCTAACACATCAATAAATTCCTACGAAAAGGCCGTATTCGTGACCGCTCTCAAACAGTTGTCTCTTGGTATCCGATGTCACTGCTGAACCACTTCTCTTTTCATTTTCTTCAAAAAGAAATATCTTTCCACGTTGTGGTCAACCGGGAAGTCAGAACTCCCCCCTTACCTCTAGCGGCATCAGAGATCATCAATAAGGAAAAACATCATTTGACATGGCGACTCCCACACTCGATTCAACGGTGGAATCAAAATAGACCCGATTTTCATCACCCATCGTTGAAGAGGCTAGAGAGAAGATTGTCACTCGTTTCGGAGCACATGTTTAGAACTCAGATCATGCTGTGGTACGAGCACGTGTTCATCTAGGTCTCAGTACGTAGAAAAAACAGCTAGAAACCTCTTTAAGTTTAACTTTGTGATAAGAAAAGTCAGGAATATGCTTCATGAGCAACCAGAGATGGAGTTAGCCAACCATGAAAGTGGAGATGATATCCATAAATCCGTGGAAATCAGTAGTATTTAAACCAAGAAGTTAAGAGACGTCAACGACGTTTACTGATCTGCTAGATGCCCAGAAACGCATCCCGCCTGGTTCTGAACACAATGAGGAGTCGAGGCAGCCTGAAGGTTAGCTGGTAAAAAGCCTACGCAATTATCGTGAGCAATAGTGGGTAACGAAAGCAGTGGCGATGAAAGAGGCAGCGGCAATTGGTAACACTAGATAATTGTTCAGACTTATCAAGAAAACAGGTATTGGAAATCCGGTTGTTAGTGAAACCGTCTCGGAAAAAGGTGGGACTATTATTCACTTTCAGTCCAGAAGATTGGACCGATGGTCAGAACACTAGGGAACAGTTTAACTGGCTTTCAGTTTTTAACAACCTCCAAGTAAACTGAATGGTAAATTGATGTAAGTCCTCCAACTCTCAGCAAAGTTGGGAGGTTATAAGCAATCTAAAGCTAGGGAGAACAACAGGGCCTGGTGAACTAACTCTGAGAATTTTAGGGATGGTAGTTCAGTTTGAGCAGTTAGACTAACTGCAAGCTTAGCTAAAATCTGGGAATCGGACATTATCTCATCTGACTGGTCTCGATCTCTGGTCGCCCCTGTCCATAAGAAAGGACAAAAATCCTCGTTTTACAATCATAGAGGAATCAGTTTAACTGGTATAGTGTCTAAAATATTAGCCTCAATAAGACTTTGAAATATAACTAGAGCTCATGAAGAGCAAATAAAAAGAACTACTTTGGTTTCAAACCTGAACGTTGATACATAGGTCTAACGCTCACCCTTGGTCAGGTTCTGAAACATAGACATGTTTTTCGACATCCAACAATACTTGTATTCCTTGACCTTAAGGCGGCGTTCGACCCTATTGATCGTAAGCTTCCGTAGTGATGTCTATCATTGAAAGACGTACCAAGGTAGTACATTAATTTTGTGCATGCTTTCTACTCTATCACTACTAGTCGAGTCAGAGCTTATGGTGAACTTTCATCGGAATTTGTTAATTCCAGTGATGTTCATTAGGGCTGCCCACCTTCCCCATTCTTGTTTACCTTTGTCATAGACATGGTTATAAAGACAACACTTTCATTGTGTGATTCAATTTTTGATGATATAGTTCTATTTGGTAAAGACGCTGACAAAATACAGCATGTTTAGGATGCAATTATATCCCTTCAAATACAAAATGCTGCTTCAGGATTAGCTTTTGTTAGTACCTGAATTAATGATAGGGAGGGAAGTAGTTGAACGCTTCACTTATCTTAGGAGTCTCACAGTACTGACGCTCTGGTGGCTGATGAAATCTCAGCACAGACTCAGAAGGTTAGATTGGCTTTTGCCAACTTGCAACATATGGCATAGGAAAGATATTTGTCTTTCAACCAAAAGGCGAGTTTACTGCTCACCAGTTAGCTCCGTCCTATCTTATGGGGGTTAATCACGGCCATTAGGAATAAAGGATATTCATAAATTACTAATATTTGATCTATAGGTGTATTTGAGCATTGTTCGTGTATTTTGGGACCACCATGTAAGCAATGCCTGGCTTAGAAATAGCGTACTACGTAGGAATGGCAAATCGACCGATAAGGTAGGATTTGTTAAGTATCCCTAACCGTATTTCTCAACTGGCGATTTTGTCCGGTGTAGGAGTAGGTTGGAAGAAAACTAAGGGCAACCAAAACAAAATATAACATCGGTCCATCAAGTCACTGACAGTAGGACTGGGACATGTACACTGACGTAAACTACCCGGTTGTGGTCCGCGTGATTATCATAACCAGTGGTTGAGGATTATATGACATAAATCACAATCATTTGCAATGTTGAAAATGCATTCATTCTTTGACTTCCCTCACATTCTTAGTTTCCTAATTCTTTATGATTTTATTTCACTAATTCCTATTTTCTTGAGTCATATCTTCAATCTCTATTTTTTTCTGTTACAATTATTACTGTTCTTACTTCTACCATTCTGGGATTCGCTCTGACAATTTCATACCGCTGTTCAGATGGAGTGGTGCCACTATAACCAACACGCATGTGTAGCGGATTCTACGTTGCGACAGACCAATGTAAAATGCCCGACTTAACTGTTTGAAAAATCTATCCATTAGCTGTAGACATGCAGCTTGAGTGTTAACACACCGTGTTATGATTCCCCTAGATCTCATCTGATACTAATTTGTTGCATTTAAAATCATATTAACTGAACACAACTGACAGTAGTGCTCCGATTTGACAAATGATGTGCCTGTGGTAAGTAACATTACTGACAGAAGTGATTTGGCTTTAGAGTTGAAGGTGAAAGATGAGAACTGATTTAGTTGTTTTTACTGGTTAACGTATGTAAAATACAAGCGAGAAACTTTATAATTACAAGTAGACAACTGCAAATATAAACTGTCTAACGAAACTCATAACCTCCATAAACTCACCAATAATTTGTTTATATACCACAAAACTTATAACTTGACAATTGGTTCGGATATGGTGTGCTGGATATTCTCCATTGTCTTCCCACTTTGATCAACGTAGCATCTACTGCAGATCACTATTAGAAATCAGTAAAATATTACCCAGTACCTCAATCCATTGCTGTTGTAGTCTGTTTCATTTTTTGGGAATTAATTAAACTCAATATTTTCCAATAGCATGGAGTGCTAACTGCACACAAATACTACAATGAAAGTGCAGAAGATCAGTAATTTATAACTTGAAGTCTGGAGTTATTAGTAATTTCATCAAGCAGTATGTAAGACTGTTCATATTATTTATAATATTCATTATTTAACATGAGCCATTGTCACAGTTTGATAAATATTATTAGCTACAAAATATTACAATCATTATTGTCTACTGGTTTTTCCAATGTACTTTAATATCTGAAACATAACACGCACACCGTAAAAGTATTTGTATGAAAAACGCTTCGTTCAACTATTAGTTTATTATGTTGAAACATAACAAAATCTGTCAAATTAAGACAGAAAATAATATCATGAGATGGTACATACATAATTTAGTAAATTATGACATTTAGTTTATTCATAATTTTAAATGTAATAACGCGAATAATACAATGAATGCTTGAAAATGCACAACTATAATTGAATGATCAGCTTTGTTTTTTAGCTTCAATTAATTCTTTAAATAATAGGACAGATATTCATAGACAAATTTAGTATGATTTTTGGTTCTTACTAGTGATCAGCGTCATCTGTTACTGGGAGTATCGCAACTTTTTGTCGACTGATTACCGTCAATGAT